GGAGGGATTAAAAGGATGTGATTAAAGGTATATATATATAGAGAGAGATGCACTAGGACAGTGAGGGAATGCATAAGAGAGATAAGAGAGGTAGGAAAGATGTAAACACGGTGACGAGAATCCGAGGACGGGGCACCACTTGCGAGAGCTCTTGTCGGCAACAGGGGATGGCGTAGGGCTAATTCAGTCGGCCAGAGCAGCGCTGTCGTCGGAGATTGTGAGGGCAGAACCAGTCGGCACGGAATTCAGCGAGCGAGTCCCGCGGAAGTATTAAAGGTGTGGGCCTGAAGTTGGCGCCACGGGTGTTGTTGGTGTTGGGAAAAGGATTGGTGTGGCGGGAGAGGTTGGAGTGCGAGTCGATGTCGTGGTACATGAACAGCGCGTCGCGCGTATCCCTTTCTGGTGGGGGCGGGCTTGTTCAGTCGGTGAAATTGTGAGTTACAGAATTGACCGCCTTATTGAAAGGATGACCCACGTGCGCAGGTATCAAGATGATATAAAAGGGGCGAGAGGAAATGCTGCCAGACCGCAAAATGCCTGCGGCCAGGGGTGCCACCTGTCCAACCTCGTAGTTATACCGTTGGTTTGGAGTTAGACTAAATGTATCCTGTGGAGGTTTGTGTTATGGCGAAGGAAAAGCTGCCTCCGCAGCCTCTACAGAGGTGGAAGTACAGACGGAGGCAGTAATGTTAGGTCGGACGGTGTTGTCGGTGACTGCAAGGGTGCGGGCTTCGTAGTGACGATACGGCGTGGTATCCACGTAAGCCACAGTGGGTTTCCATCTGAACCTACACTAGAGCGTGCAGGATCGTGCTGCTCTACGGGAGGCGTGGTGTGCGGGATGCATATTCTTTGGGAGGAGATGAATGGCTAGAAGGGAAGACACAAGGGAAGGGATGGGCAATGAGATGTGAAGAGGCGTAAGAGAGGAGAGTGTAAGGGCGGAGAGAAGTGCGTGACCCGACCATGTGCGAAGGAGACCGAAGAGCTGTGCCGTGTGATTGGTCTCTGTCGGTGCCCTAACCTTTCCAAAAATCGCAGCGCCGCGCGTTTCTCTGGCGTATCAGGGCTGGAGCTCTATGGTAAAGCGGAGCGCCGGGCGGGCAGAGAATACGACGCTTTTCCGCTTTCACCTGCTTTCATCGCTTGCCGTGAGTAGTTTTGTCTGACGTAAGGTGCTGCTCTTGTGAAGAAACGGCTATTTCTGAGTGCTACGACTTTCATGCACGCCAACTAGGTTGTAGTGCTCGCCAGGTATAGCCAGAATCTTCCCAGAACATGCCGAAAAAGAAAAAAAGCGGCGGACAAACCTGCTCTGTTCTTAGGTGTCATAAGACGCAAAAGACAACGGACGTTTTGCTTCATTGCTCAATGCTACTTCACGACTTGAATTTTTGTGATGCTGCAGCTAAGTTGGACTTTTGTTAAGATATTTGAGTTCTCATTCACTGTGATTATGGGGCTGGGGTATTGCAGTTGAAGTACGTTTTCCTATTCTATACCCTTCCCACGTAATACGCGAAGTTATAGAGGCGACACCATTAGATGTCTCATTATGAAATCACAGTGTAACTGGCGCAATTACCTAGGAAGACGTGAAAGTGAACACCATCTTGTTTTTGTTGTCAGTCGGTGTGCAGATTCTACCACGCCAGTCCGTCAGTGTGAACAGGATGATGCCATGGGTGCGAACCCGTCTTGCATCGCGGCTGGGGGAGAGCACTGGTGTAGCTTGGGCGTGGGCAAGTGCTGCTACGTCTGCTTTGAGTGGAGTGAGTGCCCTTTTTGCACCCCCTGCTGAGGCCCACGCCCACCGCCATTCACACCACCCTTCGAAACATTGCTGCACATAATGAGGTTTTTCATTGCCTCCAGAATCATACCACCTTCACCAATCTGGGATATCACGCTATAACTAGATCAAGTGAAGTCGCCTGACGTTTTAATGATGTCACGAATTCGGGCAGTGTCTGACACCATATATGTTGTCATCACCACGTGATAATTTTTCGGACCACTTGACGTCGCCGACGCGGGACGCAAGTGGTCATATTTAACGTTTGCAATGGTCAAGTTTACAGTTTTCGCCTAAGAACAAAAACTTTCTGTCAGTGTCTACGACATCCTGTGGCGGTAGCGTCAACAAGAGTGACGTGAAAGTTATCGCTTGATCGCGTCACAATAGGATGTCATCGTGGCATCATGAATTACAGAATGTGATCCTTGATGCTTGAAGGCTTGATTCTTGAAGGCCACAACGCTCACAAATTCTACAACGTTTGGATTTTACACATAACGTGTAAAGTCATCATGATGGTCTAATGATGATGTCATCACACGACGTTGTCGCTTTGCACTGCCCGTGTGATGGGCCCACCAATCACGGAGGCCAAAAAAAAAACATGTGAAGTACTACATATTTTCAACGCCTCCGCTCATAAAACTTGTGCAAAGCCCTTTTAAGTGCAGAAAACCGTCAAATAGGCGTGGGAAGGACCAATAAATTGACCGATTAAAAAAAGACGGTTTTCGCCTTTAAAGGAGCGCTGACATCAAATTCACTCATGTCAAGATTTTTCGCCAACGAGTACCTATCGAACCCCTAGCATTGATTTGCGACCTGAAATGCATTTTAGGTGAGAATGAATATCTGTAATATTGATTAATATATCCGCTATCGAACTTGATTTAAAATGGGTAGAAAGCCCGCCAAATTGTAGTGCTGTCAGCGCTACCTCACCGCCATGTCGAGGCGGCTGCACAGCTGATGCTGCTAGCACAAAAATCGATGTCGTCACGCCCACTGGTATTTCGTCTGCTAGGAGCGCACGTGCTGTGTCTCTGATGATGTAGAATAAAGCCCCTCCATGCGTTTTCCGCCGGCTAGGTTAAATAGCACCAACTCGTTATTCCCCTCTCCATGTAGCCCCAGCCTCGAGAAGGGGCCTCATACTGCCAGTGAAACCCAACTCGTTCACCAACACAGGATTTACCCTGTAGCAGCTCGGCGCAAAGTGAAGCGGCCAAATGTGGCTGTTTTTAGGCGTCCAGTCCCCCTGTTCATCGATGCGTACGAAGTCAACTCGCTGCCTTGAGGTTTGTGGCTCGGAAAGGCAGGAAACGTCACGTAATTTTCGCTTTTACCGCGTCTCAACGTGCAGGTTCCCACTGCGCAGCCGTTCCCCGACATTCCGGCATGTGTTGTCCCTCTGAGTGATCGTGCTCACGCTGTGGCGCGCATGTCAAATCAATCGATGCGGCACGATGAATCGCACGCACGCTTCAACACAGCAAGGACAGCCATTAGTGAGAGCATGGCCGGGAGTTGGCTCCAAACACACTCAGATCGTCGACGTCATTTTAGCTAGCCTATCATCATTCAGAATAGTACTTGTAGAATGTATCACACCGAACACGTAACACTAGTGTTGATGTCGTGGGGCAGTCTATTTTTCGATTTTTCCTCCTTGGCTTTTTTACGCTGTTTGACATAGAAACAAAATAACTTCCACGCGACAAGTCACATTCCAATTTGGCCAAAAAGACCTATGCATACCAACTAATCGAATGATCAGCTCATCTCAATCTTGAAATTTGAGTCAGTGCTTCTTTAGGTCGTCTTGGGTGAATCATAAAAAAACACTGTTAGTTTTTTATTGCACTTTTATTTAATGTTTATTTTGCTGTTTACTCCTTGGTTATGTTCAATCGTATCTGCTTGTTATTCACCGTAAACCACAAGGCTTCGACTATTGTAACTTCGCACACCTTTTTTTGTGTAGAGAGGCGGGTCCGTGTGTCAAGGAAAAAGTGCTAGTTGTAGTTTCATTATCATAGATACAAAAGCGACACACTCAGCCAGGTAACATTGCTAACTGATGTAAGCGCTGTTGCGGTATTCTATATATATCTCACACTGAATGAGGCTTCCACTATAGCTTTTATAGTCACAGTCTCCCTGTTAGCAGCCTTGAACGACATTGCTTTGTATATTACCAGACACTTATCAACGTTTTCTGGCTTGAACATACTGTGTCCAGACATTGAGTGCTTAATACCACCATGAGAATGCTCCATTCTGCGGCAGCTTTCCTTCTCAATTCGCCTGAGGCGAGTCCTTCACATGTTCTGTCCATGGCCGTTTTGGCAAAGAGGACGGGAACGGTTGTATATTTTATATAGCTCGGACAACCATCTGCATCAAAAGGACAAATTAGTAAATTAGCATAATGATAAACTGTAATAAAACAAGAGATCACAGGAGCTCGAACAGTAAAACAGAATAGTGTGTAAATTGTGCACACTAACGCTCATTCTGATATATATTTCTTCCCATTGTTACCTTTTGCGCATCGAGGTCGAAAATTCTTATGTTCTTAACAGGAACCATACAGAAACAGTATGTTTTATGCTGTTTCACACAAAACACTGTGAATTCAAATGTGCAGAATATTTTCGTTTTGATAAGTGTGACACGGAGCTGCAATAACTTTGTAATCTCCGCACCCGACAGTACTCACTTGATGTCCGCTCTATGGGCGTGCCAGTATGTGGTTTTAGTATACTCTAACCGTCCCAAATGCAATGTTTCTCAGGCACAACGTTTGGAACAGGCAATTCGAATTCCGATTCGCCAGCATAGTGGAGCTCGAACCCATTTATAGAGGTCGGATTTTGACATTGATTATCATGCCCTAAGTGCCATGGTCTTGCACCGCGTATCGCGTGGAAGCATATCACAAGTGATACTGCCTAAAATAAAGTACTAATAGTGAACCTTCACGGTCATGCTGGTAATAAAACAAAAAGAAAAAGCTTCTGCTACATGAAAATATAACTAACGAAGCGCACGGGCTCACCGCGAAAGCCAAGTAATGTTTCCAATTCAATAGGCTCTTTCGCGGGTACGTTGGCATTTTCTTGGGTCTCTGATAAGTCAAGGATACCTACCGTTTGCTGACTTTATGTTGATCTGCATTGTGCCCCTTCTGTGGGTGCAGATTGAAGCAGGGTTATCACGCTCGATATTCCCGCAAGGATGGGTTCGTATGCCTCCGCACTGCGGGAAACGAGGCGAGCCAATGCTTCCGCAAGCAGACGACACTCCGCCGGCGCTCCAGCTTCTCATGGGGCTTTGCGGCCAGCCTAAGTTGCGCGCGCCAATTTCTGGAAAGTTCCAATGTGGATGCTCATCTACAGCCAGCCCGTTGAGCTAAGTGTGAGAGCAGACGTATACGCCTGGCGAATAAGACAGTTGGCTTCGTTTTTCTCGGTGCGATTTTGATTGATTGATATGTGGGGTTTAACGTCCCAAATTCACTATATGATTATGAGAGACGCCGTAGTGGAGGGCTCCGGAAATTTAGACCACCTGGGGTTCTTTAACGTGCACCCAAATCTGAGCACACTTTTCTCGGCGCGAGAAAGAGATGCAATAAAGAATAGGCGAAGCGGCTGAGAACAACGTCCTGGACCTGGCGGCGGATCGCGTGATTGCGCATGTCGTGGTGGCGTTTTGCAATGCGGTATACGAGGCACATGATCTAGTGTACAGTGTTGCTGAGTTTGGTGATAAGGGTAGCGTGCTTGCCATTTAACTGAAAAAAAACGTCCGAGGAGGGAAAGGGTTGGAACAAGAGCAAGCGATGTGCTGTCAACGGAGATGGTGAGTGGAGAAGGCGACAGGGGAGCCATCTCGAGGCAGGAGAAGCAAAAGCTTTGATTCGGTTGCGGAGAAGCTCTACCCGAGAGATCTGGCGAGCGACTTCACCGCGTCTACCCCAGACTGGACAGTGGCCTCCATGATTGCCTGTGGTCCCCCAAAAGGGGATGTCATCGACATAAAAAGCATGTGACAGAGCTGGTATAGTACTAAGCATACATGCAAGTGGGTAAAAGGCAATGTTGAAAAGAAGAGGTGAAAGAACTGAACCTTGGGGAGCACCCTTGTTTTCAAGAGGGAAAGAAGAGAAGAAAGTGGACTGTAATAAATTTCTGCCTAATGGTGGGCGAGAAAAGTGGCGATGTATGCATGTACATGGTGTCTGAAGTGAAGAAAGGTGAGAGCGTCCAGAATGGTTGCGTGGGCAAACATGCCGATGCTCTGCTCGAACGATCAGAGAAACGAAAGAATGAAACCCTGTGGGGCAGCTCAAATTTTATAGGTGCCAGGGAAGATGCATCGGCGCTGTCCCTTATCGGAAGCGTAATGCAGCAAGTGACTGTGTCATGCCGGGCTAACTAGTGACGCGACCGAGATGGTGCAGGTTTGTGCGCAGTGGTGGCCACATGAGATCCCCCCCCTTGCGTATGTTAGAGCTATCACGGTCTGTAAAACTGTGTGAAAAATAGAGGTTCATGCAATAATACCTACGAAGGAATCTGCCACTGCTATCGTGCACCCCCTTAGGAATTATTGGAAGTACATGCTCCGGATCGGATAGTGTTAGCTAGCGAACTGTACACAAATCTTTTCCTGTAATTTGTTTCCTTCATCGCGCAGGGCGGGTAGTGTGGTACGGTGAAAAGCACCGAAACAGTGCCTTTGTTGTTCGAAGAGACTGATGACCACAAAGTCTCTTGAATTGCTGTAATTGTGAAGCTTTACGAGCCGTGTTTGGCAGTTTATGCGAAGCGCCGTCCACTCACCACTGCGCATAGATGTAGCGTCTCATGCCATGCAGCATATTGCATCTAGCTCATGTTTTTGCACAAGCGAGTCTTGCCTAAACTTGTTTGGTCGACTGCAAAACGGTGACCAAACTAAGTTGGCTAAGTAGGCGCACCGTCACACTCCGCTGACTCAACTTCACACAACAAAAGCAGAGGGGCGTTAAGGACAGACCACTTGGACAGGCACACTTCACGTCGCAGAAGACGAAACGTGGTTTCTCACTTAATACCGTACTGTTATTTCCATAAATAGATAGTGCGTGCTTAAGTGTGTTGTCTTTTACAAGTGTTAAAGAAATATTAAAATAAATCTTGATGCCAAATCAGTAACGCAATTACAGAGCAATGTGTCCTTTGATGGTGAAGTTTGCCCAGGTTTCACTTTTGTTGCCTGGTCACAAAAACTTTTTGCGATAAAGTTTGCGTACAAATAAATGAAGCAAGGTTCAATTAGAAATAAGTTCATATCACTTTGTTTTACACTCGGAAAAGAAGCGTTGCGAATCTCAAGATTGTAATCTATGCAAAGCAGATTCAAAGCCTGTATTTCCCGTAACTCTCATGGGGGTAAAAGCGTCGCTGAAGGAGCCCCTGTAGACACTAGTGCCAAATTCTCCTCTAGGTAATGTTGTATGAGATTGTATGCGGGTATGCGTACCAGATGTCCGGAATGTGTCGTGAAAGGGGCGGACTGCGCTTTCTTGGTGGCTGTGGAACGATGCTTCTAGAAGGAGTGGCACATGGCCGGTTCAAACGAGACGCAGACGTCGTTCCCGTTCAGGCGAAGAGTGAATTTTTTGTCGTCGCAATGAACGATTAGGTATGGTTTGCTTTCGGGTGGCTGGAAAAGCTGGTCGACGGCATCGCCGTGGAGAAAAGCCTGCGTGCACGATGCTGGCTCCTTGAACACAAAATGTACAGGTTTGCTGTGGTGGGCTTCAGGTTATTGGTGTAAGGCGGCGATAGGGCATCGGAGCCGGGTGACGAATTCGGTGGAGTCTGACGTCGTAGTTCTGAATGCCAGAGCTACGAGGAGCTCACCTGGGAAACGGATCAATCCCCGCATACGAGCTCTGCCGGTGTAGCGTGGATGTTTGGCTTGAAGTTAGCTTGAAGACAGAGGATGACAGCTTCAATGGCCTCGAGCCAGGTTGAGTCCGGGTGGCACATAATAACTGCCCCTAATTGTATGTCATTGGAAACGCTCGATGATTCTGCGTGCGAATGAGTGCTAACTGGTAGTGCTCAAGAATTCAAAACTGATAGTGATTACGAAGAGCCTGAGTAACTGCGACTTGAACTGTGGTCTTCGGCCGGTCGTTACATAGCGCAGGGCAGCGAAACGAGCAGCAATCCAGCCGATGAAGAAGACCAAGGCAACGTATTCCGTGGTTATTTCCTGGAGGGACCACGCCTCAGTCCATCCAGTTTACCGATCAATTATGTTGAAGCAGATAAAGCCCAGCCGGGGGAAAGAGTCTTATGATGTCGATGTGGACGTGCTCGAACGGATAATAGGGCTGAGAGAGAGTTGCGAGTTGAGACGTGACGCGCCTGGTGATTTTAGCGCGTTGGTAATGAACGCAGGTGCGCGCCCACGCGCGGCGATCCATACCTACCAGACATACCAGTCAGCCACGGGGCGTGTTGAGGTGCGTATGCCGGGATGGCTGATGTCGTGGTGTTGCTTTAAAAGACCACGGCGATGTGACAGTTGTACATAGCGCCTGCATCATGTCACAGGAGATTGTGGTTACTGACCCTGGATGGGGGACTTTTTGTAGCTGTAGTGAGGACATGCCCTTGAGAAGTTTTTCAGTTCGGCGTTCATAGTCGGGGCCTCGGCGAAGACATGCACTGTTATCTGCATCGAGCTGATGGCGACTACATGTGAAGGCACGCTGTCTTCTCCACTGACGTGTTGAATATCCGTGTTGAGCAGTGCGATGAACGTGTTGGTTCTGCTGAATAGGCGGGAGTTTGTCACGACGTTGAGAGAAAGCGTAGGTAAGAGGCTTGTGGTCGGTATAAATGGTGCAGTTCTGTGTTTGGAGATCATGGTGAAATTGTTGCACTGCTTTGTATATTGCCAGAAATTTTCTGTTGTAGGCTGGTAAATTCGTCGAGGTGGTGGTTGTGGTTTCGTCAGTGCAACTGGCGGCTGAACGAGCTGATTTTTGAGTTGCTAGTTTTTTGCGATCGTCAAGGGATTCCAGGTGTTGTCCACACGTTGATTGAAGGAGGCGCGATGATGAAGCCAGATGCGCCCTTGAAGAGTCGCAAAGGAGCGCCTGGAACGAGATAGGTAAGGAGCGTGGCAAAGCAGAAGGCGGCTCTGCACTCTTCGAAGGTTTTCGCTAGCGTCAGTGTTCATGTGACGGGTTCGTTTCCTCGCAGCCCAGTTCAAGCATCGTGGAGCTTAGCTTGGTGTTCGGGTGCGTGTGCGAAAAGTTTGGATATCCCACGTAGAGTTCGAACCGATGATACGCGAAGCGCGAATGAGGAAGGTTGATATGTCACTTTGAAATCAGCACAACGTTACGAGTCGGACGTAAATTATGCCGTACAGGACTTTCATGTCATGATTATCAAGTTTGAACGTGTCATTTACTTTCATTGTCTATTCACGTCGCGTCATACCTAATTTGTTACATGTGGAGCTAGCGAACCGGCCGTGAGCACGCTATGCGCGTAGCATGTAGTCATGTTTTACACGATACGCATATCATTATTATCTTGTTTGAACGTGCCATATACCTTGGTCGTCTATTCTCCACACGTATTAAAAATTTTCTGCATACCAAGCTATTGAAACGTTTGCGAGCACACTATGAGCATAGTATGTTGTCATGTTTTACATGACACGAACTTTATGATCATCATTTTTAGACATGGCATTTGCCTTCATTGCGCATTCACGAAACGTATTTTGGTTTATGTGAAGCTAGCGAAACGGCTCCGACAGCATCATGAGCGTATGAGCGTAGTTATGCTCATGTTTTTACATGAAATGCATCTTATGATTGTCATGTTTGCGCCAGTCATATACCTTCACCATTCATTCACGTGCCGTAATAACAAATTCAGCATATGTGAAGCTAGTGAAATGAACGCGAGGGCACCATGAACGTGGCGTGTAGTCATGACTTACATGACGTGCATGTTATAATTTTTACCTTAAACTTTGCCGGTTTCGCTTGCCACGCCGTCAAATCGTGCCGCATACCAGCTTCGCAATATCTCAAGTCAACAAAACCACCGCAAGAGCTTGAAGACCATGAAATATAAACCATGAAATTCATGACACACATGTGAAGACTTTCAGGTTATGAACAGTCAGGTATGCTCGTCTTACAGTCATGCTACGGTATACCAATTTAGGTATAGATACCATTATCTAAATCCTCAGAACAGCTAAAAGACGTTGGCGGCTAGAAAGATAGATAGACAGATACTGCCAAAGTCACCGAAGTTTGCTACGAAATAATAAAACGCCTGTAGCAGTTCAGCATGTCGAGGAAACGGTGAAGGCATGTAGCCGTGG